TGAATGGATGATGGGTAGTGGGGATTGAATTCGAGATTAATTTTAAGATACTTAGGGATTTGGAGAAGAATAGACTAGAATTAGGGATTGGAGAGGGAGGATAGGATAATCTAACGATACTTTGATAATTTGTTTATTGATTATCTCTGACGAAATAGGTAAACGACAATATATAGAAGCTAACTAGAAACTCTAATCGACTTAATCCTAACTAATGACTAAAATACCCTTGATTTAAAGGCGTACCTTCATCAGAGTAGATCGATTTATATGAATGCGATTTGTGTATCAATATGCTGAGATCATCATATCAGACCAACGCAAACAGTGTAGGTAGAACTAGTTTTCAACGATCAATTACTATGTGAAACCGATTTTGAAAGTTTTTGAAGTTCAAAGGACAATGAAATTGTTCGCTTCATAGTGAAAGTTTTTAACCTAAAAGCTAGGAAATTCTACTCTAGCTCAAGTGATTGGCATAATTCCCAAATTCGATGAACCTACCAATAGGGTGGGGAAAATCAGTAATGGGCAGTTTTGTTTCTCGTTCTTTATTTGAACGGGATCGGTTGGTTTGGTTAATTATAGAGCAGACATGGCAACAACCTCTCTGCGGCGAATGATGAATGTCTTGCAATGAATCTGGAGCATAAACTGGACAAGGGACACAACAAAGAGAAGAAGAAGAAGAAGAAGAAGAAGAAGAAGAAGAAGAAGGGAAAGGACATGTCAATTATTGACACCGTCTCATGAACCTCGTATTTATATAGCCTCCACATTTATGCACATTGGTGACTCAAAACGGCAGATTTATATTATAGTTTTTTTTTTTAAAAATTGCTCAATGAAATCCAACGATTGGATAGAAACATATATTTCTTTTCTCAAAACAGAATTTTCAGAAGAAGAAAAAAATAAATCTTACCTTGTTAATATGTGGTTTAAGATTTGTTTTTAAATATCTTCGAACAACTCGAATTATTGGGAACAACTGATTCTTGACATAGTATCATAACTTTTTGTGAATCAAAATTCTTGTATTGGAATTCCCACGATCTTATCTATTAAACACATGATATTTAAATTTGTGCAAAGTCGATAACATATTTTGATTGTATTAAAAAAAACTTAATCATCATTTTAGCAACAAAATAACAATTTTACAATCTTTGTCTCCACCTCCTCACCTGGAAGCGTGCCGTGGTCTACGGGTAGCTGTACACAGACACAACTACAAAAGGTTCAGAGGTTTTGTAATTTTTTTTTTGTAATTTTCATGTCGTGAGCAACCCCACGAGGAGACTGAAGAAGGAAAGTTTTGTGTAATCCGGGTTAGGTTCGTTTTATATTAGAGGTTCATTTGTCTTGTTTTTTTTTTATAAAACTTGGAATGTTCATTGTACGGGCCGGGAGAGAAAGTTGTAAGATTAAAATATTTTTTTAAACCAATTAGTTTACCAGCCAGTTGTAGGGGTGGAAGTTTGGGTTGCGGGTTGTGGATAATCCGCAAACCGCACCAACCCGCACCTATTGTGGGTAACCATACTCATAAGTTGTGGGTAGTAAAATAACGATTTTTGTGGTTAGTGGTTATCCACTAGCCACCACGGTTAACACACAAAATTCACAATAACCACACTAATTATATTTATTTAGTGAATTAACTTTATAATATAATAGTATGTGAAAAGTGAGAAGATAAAAATTAAAGTAGCTACCAAATAAAAAAGTCACACCTAATCAGTTTTATGTCGGAATTTTTTAGTTTATAAAACACTATAATCGATAGAGTGGAGAATAATCAATTCAATAAAAGTGAACACCTTTTGTAACTTTTATCAGTATGTTTTTGCTTTTGTATGAAAAAAATACAAGATCATATTTAATTGTCATATTTCACCCCTAGTCGGGGAAATATGAAATCAACTCTCTGACTCAAAAGTTGAATACCAAACTCAAAAAGAAAAAAATCTCCACGTTGAGTAAGATGGTTGTACAAAATTGTATCTCCACGAACAACACAAGTGTATATTACTACAGTCTAGTTACAAACAACAAATACGTTAGTGGCGACTAGAACTCTGTGCTTGCAAAGATGGATTTTAGCGGGTAACCACACCCAACTCGCACAAACCTGCAGGTTGTGGATAGCATAATTGTAAATTTGTGAGTTTGAGTACCCGCAAAATGTGGGGCAGCTAACCACACCCACCCCACACCCCTAGCCAGTTGTATTTATGTTGCTGTCGTGTAAAAGACTTGGACTTTGTTATAACCAGTGTTATTAAAGTCGAGCCGAGCCGCTCGGCCCGACCGTTAAAACCGCTACCCGATCACAAAATCGGCTCGGAACAGTCTAAAAGCCGCTCCGATTTTATGTAGCGGTTGGCGAGCGTCTGAGGCGGTTAGCCGTTCGAGCCGATCGAGCCGCTCGTCCGGTTTTTGCCATTCAGCCACTAAATTTAAATAAAAAAATTGTAGAAAATTGAAAATTGAAATAAACCAAAAACGTCATGCTCTCAAATTGAATCTTTATTTCCATTTCACAATTTCGAAGGAAAGAGATGAGTTCTGATTAAGAAATGTCCACTATTTATACTGATAACGTTTATTAGGTGTCGGTTCTCTAACGGTTTTTAAACGATCTAATGCCGGTTGGACCACTAAATTGCGAGCCGTTCGCATTACCGGGTCATGCTCCGGTTCGGTTCTAACAACATTGGTTATAACGGATTGGGAAATAGAGAATATAGTAAAGTAAAAAATACTTCAATTTATGTGATTCACTAACACGATATGTATTACTTAATTAATTAATTTATGGCATAACCCTAATCTAACTCGAAACGAAAAGAAAAGAAAAAAAAATTGCAGCCAGATCCAAAATATAAGCCTATACACCATGGGTCGAGGCCGTTACCCCGGCCCGTACTCCCAAAACCGAACGTTTCGCCACTAAACTCCGACTAACGAGACGATGAGACTAATTAACTTGTTTTCAAGTCGCAGCAACATGTAGCATGTAGAGGGAATGAGCAATCAGGAGAAGCAAACTTCAATTCTAGAGGCACGTACGATTCAATTTGGGATTCTGATTGAGAGAAGGAAGGACGGCAGGATGCATCGAGAATTATTCATTTGAGATGTAGTAATTGTAGGAAAGTTAGATATGTTTTCCTCTTCTCTTGTCTTGATCCACCAATTGCGCTTAGGCCCGCCTCCAATTGTCTGATCACGCCTCACAATGGCTAATCACGATTAGCTAGACACCATTGACGTTATGAACACCTTATTTGATATCTATACTCTAGACGTTATGAACACCTCTGACAAAGTATGTTACGTATGATATAAATTCATTTTTTGTTATTGAGATACTATTTAAGTTATTTGAACCTGCAACCTTAAGGTTCAAAATTAGTGTTATTACGCTATGTATATGCGTGTCTTGGAAAGAGGTAAGAACTATTAGACCTGGTAGTTGGTAACAGTACTGGGAGCAACAGGAGCCACGACAGCAGCTAAGGGGATTGGATGGTGTGGATCGGTCTTGGCTGGAGTAGCATTCGATGCCGTTTGTGTTTGGTATTGATGGAGCAGTCTCGAATGGTTCACATGGTGCAGGTGGTTTGGTGGTTCGGGATGCGATGGGGGGTATTTGGTTTGTCAAGGGGATTTTATTATGCAGGTCTCGTGGATCCCTGCCTTGTGGAATTGGTTGCCATCCGGGATGCAATTCACTGGTGCTCTTTGAAGGGTCTTATTGAGATGATGTTTTGCGGGGATGCGAAAGTGGTAACTGAGAAAATTCAGAGGAGGGATACCTGAGATGTCAAGGGTGGACGGCTTTTAGTGGAGATAGAGAGCCTTCGACAACAATACCGGTCGTTTGGGAAATCTTTTGTTGGCGTGAGTAACAATCGGGTGGCTCATGACGTGACCAAGAAGACCCTTTCTTTTATTGCCTGCGAATATAGATGGTTTTGATTTTTTATCGTTGGTTCTTATTTGGTGTGTAAAGAGTGCTATCTTTTTGCCTTGATAATATAGGTTGTCTATTGATAATAAAAAAAAAACAGTATTGGGAGATTGGCAGCTAGTGTGCATTGTACCTGGAAAAATGAATCACTATGTAAGTTAACTTTTACGTGGTACGTGGACACCATCATTACCAATTGATCGAAACCCTAATCTTATATGTATCCAGGGCCTTATGTATCGGTAATTCAACCTACCAGCATTTTTATCTCACTTTCTTCCTCCATCCTTTCTTCGTTCAATTCAACGATGACGGTACGTACGTACAGCCTTAATGATGCATTTAACGAGGAACATAAAACAAAAACAAGCCCAGCCGACAGCAACCGCAAACCTTGATAAAAAAGCTAGCTCCACATTTCTGCATCATCTTAATTTGGGTCTTAAAGGAGACAATCTGTATGGCATCCGATATTGTGTTAACCAGTAATTATAAAATGTGATACATATTTCGCGTTGGAGTTATAAATAGTGCTATAATTGTAGAAAAGCAACGGTTATTTTTTAAAAAAATATAAAAAAATAACGGTTAACTAGCCAAAACCTTAACTGGGTATTCCTATGGTAAATTGAAGTAAGGTAACTTGAATTTTTTTACGTGTTATAGCGGGTTTCACAGGTTGCATTACGTAAAATACAATAAGTATTACGTAATAGTTATGTAACGTATGGTAACCTTACGTAACAGTTGTAAAGCACCATTACGTAAGCCTTACATAATAGACAGTTATTTTACGTAATGAATACTAGCATTGCATTACGTAAAGTGTAAAGTCATTACGGAAGCCTTATGTAACGCTGCTAATTTAACTATTACGTAAGAAATAACTGTCGTATGTAACCCTTACGTAATGGAAGGTCCCTTTACGTAATGAGTATTGGTGTCGCGTTACGTAAAGAGCTACGTCATTACGAAAGCCTTACGTAACGCTTCCATTTTAACTGTTACATAAGAAATAACTATCATTCCGTAACCTTTATGTAATGGATGTGTATTTTACGTAGCAGTGGTAAAAGGTCCTTATGTAAGTCTTACGTAATGGAAGGTCCCTTTACGTAATGAGTATTTATTTTATGAGGGTGATTAAAATTAAATAAAAACCAAAACCAGTTCTACATACACCAGACTTCCCCCGAAGGAAGGAACAACCCAGAAAATAGCTAGAAAGCAAAAACAAAAACAAAAAAAGACCTCTGCACGAAAAGTGCTCTCGGCCAAAGCTAATGAAAGGGAGAAAGAAAAAATGTAAAGGAACAAACCGGAAGCTAAGCCCACCAGAAGGCCCCTGCATCCCCAAAAGTGGTCCCCCAACCCAAAGAACGAGATCGAACAGGAGCACACAAACCCCCAACAACTCAGCAAAAGAAGCAGCAAACAGACACTGCTCATCCCGCAACCACCCCTACCATCGCCGAACCACTCCTACCCCAAGGACCGCGTCCAGGGCCGACCACTCTACATCTGATTAGTAAGTTGCGACCTCAACCAGCCAAGACATTGGTCTCTGCAGATCTACTTATGCGCAGCCAGCCACTCGACCGAAGCTTTGAGTGCCTTGATGAACACAACTCTCGCACTGCAACTGATGTCATTAAAGGTGCGGTTGTTCCTTTCTAACCAAACCTACCAACATATCGCATGAAGTGCACAAAACCCGATCCAATCACTAATGTTGTCCGGGCTCTCACAACTCCAGCTACGAATGGTGGACAATATATCTCCTTGCGGCGGGATCAGGTAAGGGAAGATTTTCCCGGCTTCTCCCCAAATCTCTTTCACGAACTCGCATTTGATAAAAAGGTGATCGACGTTCTCCTCATCTTTGGTGCAAAGACTACATCTGTTTGCTAAAAGCACTCCTCTTCTCTGCAACTTGTCCAGCGTCAAAATTCTTTTGTGAACTACCTCCCACATAAATGCATTCACCTTAGATGGGATGAACTTCCTCCACACTGATTTACTAGGAAAATCAGCAACCCCCGAGAGCCTCTCATCCGACAAGAACCTGTACATAGATCGAACAGAAAACACAGAATCCGATTCATGAGGCCAAACCAAACGGCTTGGACCACATGACAAACAACGGTAATCGATATTGCTTAATAAGTTAAATAAATTCAGCCTTTCCCTCTCTGCACCCCCTCTCAATTGAAATTTCAAATTAAGATTCCAATCCGATCTCTCACCTGAACGAATGACCACATCGGAGATCTAAGCATCAGGCGAGGCAGTAGCGGCAGCAACCCGCGAAAAAGACTCGGCAAGAATCGTGTTTGGTATCCAACAGTCGTTCCAGAAGGAGACCCAAGCCCACCCCCCCTCTCCCGGGTCAACGTACCCTGCTTTCCAAAAGTCACCATACTCCTTCGAGATATTAGCCCAGACTGATCCCCCGAAACCACTTCTGCAATTTTTGCTCCTCCAAACCGAATTTCCTGATGGATCTTAATGTTGATAAGCTTTACGTAACGAGTATTAACCTCGTGTTACGTAAAGAGCTAAATTATTACGAAACCCTTACGTAACGCTTACGATTTAACTGTTACGTAAGAAATAACTTTGTTACCTAAAATTTACGTAATAGATGTTAATTTTACGTAACAGTTGTAAAAATTCATTATGAAAGTCTTACGTAATGGAAGGTAGTATTGAATCGACAAAATGGTGTAAAAAAACTCAAATTGTATCTATAACAATCATATTCTAAAAATAAAATCTATAAACAATCAAACCAAAATCTATCTTTCTCTACTGTAAAAAGAAGCGAACTTCGATCTCCCTATACTGTAAAAAGAAAATCCATAACATAGAGTATTACTTTAAAACAAAAGACAGGAAATTTCACTCACTAGTAATTTTCACAATTCTAAATTCGATGAAGCTTCCAATAGGGGGGAGGAATCAGCATTCAGCAATGGGTAGTTTTTTTTTTCTCCTCTCATTTTTATATGGATGGAAATGGAATATGTAGTTTAGTCAATTATGGGAACAAACATCACAACAACAACCTCTCTGCAGACAATGATGAATGTCTTGCAATGAATCTGGGGCAAAAACTCGACAAGCTAGGGACACAACAAAGAAATTAAAAGAGGTGGAAGAAGGGTTCCCCCGCCATTACTGACACCGTCTCATGGAACACGAACCTCGTATTTATATAATACCTTCGACGGCTATATATATGCACATTCATGGCTGAAAATGGTAAACTTGTCTGCCCCTAGCTCTATCGCCTTCATTCTCTGCATTTTGAAGAACAGATAATTTTTTGCGACACGTGCAAGTGCCATTGCTTGCTGGAAAGTGGGAACACTGGCAGATCTCTAATTTTATTTAATTAAAAAGATCTTCAATTTAATTACTTAATGTTTAACACTCGCACACTGCAATTAAAAATGTTTGGGATCGGTTATATCTTAGAACCACACTGATCATGAGTTGTAGTAGTCCGTAATAGAGTTGTAGTCGTTACTCGTTGAAATTGAAATTGTAGCAATATGCAGATTTGATTTGTAGCAGTACAATCATATATATAGTTGACTAATTGTAGTTAGAGATGTCAATCAAACTCACGATTACGATTACCCGATTCTTCCGCAGCAATCAAATAGCTGACTAATTAGTTGGGACAAGTATGGGTAAAACTCTCATAAAATTTGATGGGTATTAGGGGGGTGTACATAATTTTAACCTCTCTCCTGCTCCATACCCATACTCAGATTCATACACGCCACACAAAAAGTATTTCTGCACATATATAAAATTTAGGAATCAAATTGTAACATGTGAATGATGGTGAGGGTAACTAAAAAATATATAGAAATGTAATTGAGTGGCCACCCAAACCCAAACCAAAACCTAACTTCATTCCCTTAATTTTACCTTCATTCTTTCACTTCCCCCCTTGTTAACAAGATTATGTTAGTTACTTATAGCTTAGTAAATGTATCAAAGTTAGAGATTATTGTCATGGATAATATTGAACTCTATTTTATGGATTAATGATGTTTTAGGATAAAATGTTTTAAACTGTATTAAGAATGATTGTCTGATTTCAGGATTTATTAGGCCCATTGTCTACATGTAAAATTTTTGGGTTGATGTTGAATGTAGGGGACAAAGGTATTAGTTACATGCTTATACGCTAGCCATCCTTAACCGACAGCAGATACAATGATTCTGGTCGAAACTTTGTCTCCTGAAAACCGCGCCGACTTCAGCTGGTGCGCCTACAGGCGGCGGCCGGAGCACTCCAATTAATATTCCTCCTTTGCGCGCGGTTAAGTGAGATGCATTTGAAGGCTTAATATATAATATGATATTGTTCAGACTAATTTCCAATAGATTAAATCCGTTATTATTGTATTGTTCAGAATCACATGGGAGAATTGGGAGAGAGGAATATAGACATGGTCGGGATCAAAATCAATGGATTCAGTATACATAGTACACTGGACTAAGATTCCCCCACCTCACCTGAATTACTACAAACCGACCGACGAGGTGTTTCTGTGTTCCTTCCAATTATATTGTAAGCGTGGTCTACGGGTTCTTGTACGCATGCAGACACAACTGCAGAAAGTTCAGAGGTTGTGTGTTCAAACGGTAGCATGGATCATCTTTGTTCAATTTGTCTGTTCTTTGCCTTGTTTTAGAATTGTTGGAATGTTCATTGTACTGGAGGGCTTTGGCTGATGATGATGATATGCTGTGGCTGTTGCGTGCTTCTGCCTTAACCTCTCAACTACATTTCGAATAGCAAAGATAAGAAGACTAACCCTAAATTGTCCGCCCAGTGCACGGACTTGATGTCTGTAAATAACTGGCTAATCCAATCAGTTGAGTTGTTGGGAGACGTTCAATTATAGATCATATACTTATTGCTAACGCACCCCCTCAAATGAAAACCTATACATATAGGCTTGAGGACAAGTCCAAATACCATGTGATTAACAAATGTGAGTCATTGGGATTCAAACAATATTTTTCGGCACACTAGTCTCTGATACTATGTCAAGAACTCGTTGATCTCAATAACTCGAATTTAAGGAGTCCTACTTACCAACCCGAATTTTTGAAATCACAAGGTGTTTGGAACGGAACAAAAACAAGAATGAGGTTACCGAATCTGGAGTTGAGTCGTGGACTTGGTCGCTCTGTTTAAGACGTTCGCGGCACTGCCCTCGATGCGCACGACAGACTATCAACTGGTTGTCTCCAGGATAAAACAACTCCTCTCTGTACTTGCGGTTTTGTGCGAAAACCAGAGCTCTCTGAACACTCTCTCTATTGTGTTTATGCTCGTTATGGTGTCTTTAGAGGGGCTGGGGAGGCGGCTATTTATAGGAGCCGAACCCCTAGGAATATACCCTCTTGCTTGGGGAATAAGTCGGATTAATTAAGGAAGATAATTACTTCCTTAATTAAAACCGTTTGTTAAGATAATTCCTGTGGGATTATCCTTCGAATATTCCGTTTAATCGATTATCCTTAGAATATTCCTCAGAATAACCGATTAATAATTAATTATTAGATAATTAATTTCGTTCGCGTGTGTGTGGTGGTCTGTTAGGTCCTCCCTCTCCCACAAAAGTGGGTCACCCCAAGGGGCATGCCCTTAGGAGAGAGGCTCCTATCTTTATACACATTTCACCAAGTAAAACTACCAATGTGGTAGTTTTTCCACTTGAGACTCTATAGCTTTCAAAGCTATTCATTCATTTCCAACAATCCCCCACTTGAATAGTTTTGAAACTATCTCTGAGCATCAACAGTTCCATAAGATCGGGCATAAGCTAAGGTATCGCGAAGATTTGAACCTCAGCGTAGTGGTTACACTTCCGATTTCATAAGGGTGACTCGTAGTCTTGAACCTATCTCAGACAGTGTAGCACACCAGATCTTTTCATTGAGTTGTGTTCTCTTCTTAGCCCGTGCGTTTATGGCCATGCACATTATCCTACTTTATTGAACGCTCTAGCAACTTTGTGCCTCCAAAGTTCCATAGGGAGCGGCCCCACTCCCACATTCACATAGGTGAGTCTATCAAGAGTACCCCACCCAAAGTAAAGTACTTCACCCCACATAGGGTATAGATCTCATTAAGAGTTATTAACTCAACCTCCATTGCTTTGGGATTCATGCTTCACTATGCATGAACTTTTCGCATACTACTCATGACTTGTTATTACCCATTGAACCCATTTCTTGGGATCTCCAGTCTATTGGGTCGGGTTACCATCACTTGTAGTTCGTGGTTCGGTAGACATAAGTCCCATACCCTTGGCGGTATTCTAGACTTTCTCTCTATGTAATCCTTTCTTCAAAGGATCAGCTAGATTCTGTTCGGATCTTATATGAACCGGTTCTCAACTTTAGCGATAGCTGCGGTACTATCACAATGGATCAATACCGGAGTGACCGTCCTTTCCCATAGGGGAATCTCTGACAACAATCCTCTCAACCAACTCGCTTCTTCACTAGCAATTGCTAGTGCTATCATCTCTTATTCAATAGTTGATTGAGATAGTATTGTTTGTTTCTTTGACTTCCAAGACACAGCTCCACCAGCGATGTTAAAAACATACCCGCTGGTTGCCTTGGAGTCATCTGATAGGGTATTTCAATCCTCATCACTATACCCTTCTAGTACAGCACGAAACCTTTGATAGTGTATACCAAGGTTTGCTGTTCTCTTGAGGTATCTCATGACCCTCTCTATAGCATTCCAATGCTCTCTACTAGGACAACTGTTAAACCTTCCAAGCAATCCCATGACATATGCAATGTCTGGTCGAGTGTAATCCGCAACATAACGGAGACTGCCAATGATGCTAGCATATTCTGATTGTCTTACACTGTCTTCAGTGTTCTTAAATAGCTTTACACTAGCATCATACGGAGTACACGCAAGTTTACAGTCGAAATAGTTATATTTCTTCAAGATCTTCTCTATGTAGCTAGATTGATCTAGTTATCTGGATTCCAAGCATAAATTTTGCTTCTCCCAGATCTTTCACCTCAAAACTCTCTTTCAACATGGCTTTTGCTTCATTGACCACGTGAATATTTGTACCAAATATCAACATGTCATCTACATATAAACATATGATAGTGCAAGTATTATTCTCTGACTTGCAGTAAATACACTTGTCACTTTCATTCACCTTAAAGCCATGTGAGAGAACGAGAGTGTCAAACTTCTCATGCCACCATTTTGGAGCCTGTTTCAAACCATATAATGATTTGTCTAACTTACAGACTTTTGAGGCATGTTTGGAGATAACAACCCCTTATGGTTGTTCCATATAGATTTCTTCATCCAGATCACCGTTCAAAAAGCAGTCTTAACATCCATTTGGTGTACCATGAGATTGTTCAAGGCAACAGGAGCAATCATGACACGAATGGATGTTATTCTTGATTCTGGTGAATAGGTATGGAAGAAATTTATATTCCCTCTTTGCCTGTAGCCCTTAATTACTAGGCGAGCTTGGAACCTTTCGATTGCACCATCAGGTTTCCGTTTCGTTTTTAGAACCCATTTATTACCTAAGACTTTGCATCCAGATGGTAATTCTGTTAGATGCAAGTCTTATTAGCTTCTAACAATTCCATTTCATCTATAACGGCCTCATTCCAAAAGTCTGCATCTATGAAAGTTAATGCTTCCTGCAAACTTTTTGGATCTTCGAGGGTGTATACTGTAGTAAAGTCATCACCAAAATCTTTAGAGATTCTAGCTCTTTTACTTCTTCTGAGTTCATCCTCAGATCCAACACCCCCACTAGTTCTGTTATCTCTAATAGCGGGTAGTACATTACCCCCACTATTTCTCGTTTTAAATGGAAATCGTGTCGCAAAGAAATCAGCATCAATGGATTCTACTATAGTACGAGCATTCAAATCATAGAATCTATATGCCTTACTATTGGTCTCATAGCCAACGAAGACACATTCATATGCTCGACTAGCCAACTTAATCCTCTTAGGATCCGGAATTCTTACGTAGGCCAAACAGCCCCACGTTCTTAAATAGGACAGATTAGGTGGCTTATTCTTCAAGATCTCATAGGGTGATTCTTTTCTATTTGTTTTTGGAAGACGATTTAGCACATAGCAAACCGTCAACAAAATACCACCTCACCAAGAAGAAGCAGCTCCATAATTGAGCATAATAGCCACAACTAATTCTGTAAACGTCCTATTTTTTCGCTCAGCTTTACCATTCATTTCTGGTGAATATGGTGCCTTGGTTTCATGAATGATACCATGTGAGCTATAGAATTCCTTGAAGGGATTAGAGTCATACTCTGATCCTCTATCACTCCTAAGTCTTTTTATCTTTCGATTGCACTGATTTTCAAATTCAACCCCAAATACCTTGAACATATCAAGGGCTTCACTTTTGTTTTTCATCAAATAAACAAAGCAATAATCAGAGCAATCATCTATGAAAGTGATAAAGTATATCTTGCCAGACCTAGTTAATGTCCCATCTAGTTCACAAATATCATAATGAATCAGATCGAAGGGTTTTGATTCTCTACTCACAGATTTATGGGGCATTTTCGTTATTTTAGCTTGGCTACAGAAATCACATTTATCAAATTCGTTCATTGAGATTTTAGGAATATGTCCTAGCTTGCTTAAATTCTTCACAATTTGTGTGTTCACATGACAAAGACGAGCATGCCAAACATTCAAATCACACACCATGTAAACTGAAGAATTCATCTTATTAATTTCGACATTCAACTTGAACATCCCATTACATGCATATCCCTTTCCCACAAAACTCCCATTCTTAGTAAGGTATACAAGTCTGCCCCAATAGATTGATTAAATCCATCCTTATTAAGAAGATATCCTGAAACAAGATTCTTCCTTATCTCTGGAGTGTGCAACACATCCTTGAGCACCATTTTCTTCCCAGAGGTGAAGTTCAGCTCCACTTCACCAGAATCAGCAACCATAGAGGTGTGAGTAGTCCCCAGCAGCACTTTCTTGTCAGCAGGTGCTTCTGTGTATGTTTTAAACATAACACGATTGTTGCATACATGCTTTGATGCACCTGTATCCAGCCACCATCCTACTGAGTCACCGGTGAGGTTGACTTCAGTGATCATATCCGTGATCATGGCTATCAAATCCTTTTCTGTCAAGTTAACCATGGTCGCAGCAGCAGGGTTAGGCTTGTTCCTGCACTTTTTTGCCATATGACCCGGTTTACCGCAGTTATAGCAGATAAACGATGGGTCATTCTTACAGGTTTGG